CGGGGCTCGTGCTCCCACTCACCTGGCGCTGAACCCTTCGGGGCTCGTGCCAGGTGCCAGTAGCGCTGAACCCTTCGGGGCTCGTGCTACTGAAACTGGGAGCGCTGAACCCTCCGGGGCTCGTGCTCCCAATCACCTGGCGCTGAACCCTTCGGGGCTCGTGCCAGGTGCCAGCAGCGCTGAACCCTGCGGGGCTCGTGCTACTGAAATTGGGAGCGCTGAACCCTCCGGGGCTCGTGCTCCCAATCACCTGGCGCTGAACCCTTCGGGGCTCGTGCCAGGTGCCAGTAGCGCTGAACCCTTCGGGGCTCGTGCTACTGAAACTGGGAGCGCTGAACCCTTTCGGGGCTCGTGGTTCCAACTGACCTGGCGCTGAACCCTGCGGGGCTCGTGCCAGGTGCCAGTAGCGCTGAACCCTTAGGGGCTCGTGCTACTGAGTCGATTCTTACTACCATTCAAACAGCTTTTATGACTCTTGAATAAGGGGCCACTAACGCAATTTTTGTTTTTGAGGGTTTGGGGCCCGTTGGTGGGTATCAGGAGACCCCTGTCGCCTTCAGCAACACCGCGTGCCCTTTCGCGAAGTGCGCCTCCGTGACCTTCGACCCAGACCTGGGCTTCGCTGTCGTGGACGGCTCGACGGTCACCTCCGTCCGCGTCCTCGTCACCTTCCAGGACCCGGATGAGGACGAGGAGACAACGGTGCCCGACACCGCGCAGGGCTTGCGCGTCACGCGGGTGGCCACGTGCGCCCTCGAGCCCGCGGGCCAGGAGGCGCCAGCGAAGTTCCAGTTCACTGCTGGCGGCCTCTCCAGCGCCGTGCAATGGCTGGTCCGCGCCGACGGGACGTTCTTCTTGAGTGTTACAAAACGGAAGAACGACAACACTTTCGTTGTTCAGACACACCACAAGGTGACCCCGCCCGACGCAGCGTTGTGGGCGCAGTTCATGAACAAGACTTTGGCGATCGCGAAGGGCCCGCCGCTTAACTTCGGCCACTCCATCAATCCAATGAAGCGCAAGCGCGCTGGATGAGGCCGCTGGCCCCTCCGCGGCTGCGGACATGACAGTCCGCAGCCGCGGGCTGGTCGAGGGGTGAGCTGCGTCCGCCCACCGCTGGTCGCCCCCGCTGCTTCGGTCTGCTGGTGTAGCGGCGCTTGCGTTGCAGCAGGTGGAGTTGATTTGGAATCGTACTACCATCGGTCTTCACTGCAGCGGCTGCGATTAAATAGCACTCCGCGTGGGCTTAAGAGAAGCCCCCCCGCGCGTCGGCCCGAGTACAGTCAGGCTAGTAGGTTCACGCCGTGTGCACAAAACCATAATGCAGCGATACATTGTTTGGGAGATTATTGGCAGTCTTTTAAACCGCTCTTGGCCGATCAGTGTCTGCGTTCGAATTGTAGTTACCAGACACCTCGGCAAGTGCTTTCGTCTAGCGAACTCGTGTCGCCCACCCTCTTGTGTAACCTCGACTGGACGAGGGAAATGAGACCACTCAGGCCAACCTCACGAATCGGAGCTCACGAGGAAAGTGAGACCACTCAAACCAACCTCCCGCTGCTGCTCCTGCTGCGGTTCCTGCTGCTGCTCTTCGCCATCATCCATCTTATCCTCTTCCTCCTCCTCCTCCTCCTCCTCCTCCTCCTCCTCCTCCTCTTCCTGGAGGGTATCGGAAAACATGCTGTTTACACGGTTTCGTGCCCCCCCTCCACTCCTCCAGAGAGGCCGCGCTCGAACGAGGAGGGTCGCGGAAAGCATTACTCTTCGCCAGGTTTCGTAGCCCTCCCCCCTTCCAGCGGGGCCCCGCCAAAGCGAGGGGGGCATCATGAAAATGGGCCCCACGAAACCGTTAATCTTTTTATGTGAGGAACTCCGTTAGCATAATTATTCTGAGGGGTGTGAGGGTATTTCGCTGGCAGCGTTAAGCCAGGGCGGTAAGGGTATTTTGCTAGCAGTTTCAGGCCAGGGGGCACGGGTATCTCGCTAGCAGTTAAAGGGACGGGTGTGCGGATATTTGGCACGTCAGGGGGTGCGAGGATATTTCGCTGACAGTTTTGGGCCAGGCGATTGAGGATATTGAACTGGCAGTTGTAAATTTAGCGGGTGATGGTATTTAGGTGGCAGTTTTAGGCAAGAGGCGGTGAGGATATTGCGCTGGCAGTTTCAAGCGAGGGGTGTGAGGATATTTCGTTGGCAGGTTGAAGCGAGGGGAATGAGGATACGTCCTTGGCAGTTAAGTTTAGGGGGTGAGGATATTTAGCTGGCAGTTTGAGGCCAGAGGCGGTGAGGATATTTCGCTGGCGGTTTGAAGCGAGGGGCGTGAGGATATTTCGCTGGCAGTTTCAGCGGGGGGTGTGCGGATATGTCGCCGGCAGTTTTATGGTCGCGCGGTAAGGGTACTTCCAGACGTAACCAAGCAGCACCATGTGCCACGCACGGGGCGACGGGGGGGGCGAGAGGGAGGACGAAGGACGAGGACGAAGTGGCGGCGAAAGGGGCGGTCGGAGGTAGGGATTGAGAGGAGTCATTATCGGTGCGCGCATGCACGCGCCACGCGGTGAAGTGTTGGGTCTTGCCCTGCCTGGCCCAGCCGAAGGCTACGCATGCATCGAGTTACTGCGCCCGTATATATGCTCGCCCCTTGGCGTGGGGCAGACGGGGGGCCAAGGGGCGAGCTGTCTGGTGTTCTGTGATGCGTGTTCGTCTCAACACGCGCGTACCCTGACGGGCGGGCGGGCGGCGGGTTCGGCGGGCGGGACATTCGAGCATGACGCATAATCGAGGTAGCACGCGCGTTGCCCTAACGGGCGGGCGACGGGTCGGGCGGGCGGGCCCTAACGGGTGTGCCTGGCGGCGGGCGGGGCCCTGACGGTCGGGCGGGCGGCGGGTCGGTCGCACGGGCGGGACATTGACGTAGGACGCGCAATCGAGGTAGCACGCGTGTTACCCTAGCGGGCGGACGACGGGTCGGGCGGGCGGGCCCTAGCGGGTGTGCCAGGCGGCGGGCGGGACCCTAACGGTCGGGCGGGCGGCGGGTCGGTCGCACGGGCGGGACATTAACGTATGACGCGCAATCGAGGTAGCACGGGTGTCACCCTAGCGGGCGGGCGGCGGGTCGGGCGGGCCGACCCTACTGGGCTTGCGGGTCGGGCGGCGAACAGGGCCCTAACGGGCGGGCGGGCGGCGGGTCGGGCGGGAGGGACATTAACGTATGACGCATAATCGAGGTAGCACGCGTGTCACCCTAGCGGGCGGACGGCGGTTCGGGCGGGCGGATATTAACGGGCGGGCGGGTCGGGCGGCGGGCGGGACCTTGACGGGCGGGCGGGCGGCGGGTCGGGCGGGCGGGGTATAACGTATGACGCATGATCGAGGTAGCACGCGTGTCGCCCTAATCGGCGGACGACGGGTCGGGTGGGCGGATGCTAACGGGCGGGCGGGTCGGGCGGCGGGCGGGGCCCTGACGGGCGGGCGGGCGGGTCGGGCGGGTGGGACATTAACGTATCACGCATGATCGAGGTAGCACGCGTGTCGCCCTAATCGGCGGACGACGGGTCGGGCGGGCGGATACTAACGGGCGGGCGGGTCGGTTGGCGGGCGTGGCCCTGACGGGCGGGCGGGCGGGTCGGGCGGGCGGGACATGAAAGTATGACGCGCAATCGAGGTAGCACGCGTGTCATCCTACCGGGCGGACGACGGGTCGGGCGGGCGGATCCTAACGGGTGGGCGGGTCAGACGGCGGGCGGACACTTGAACACCCTAGCACCCGAACGCCCGAACGCGCCCTCACGCCCCGACATCCTAACATCCTGGCGCAATATCACCCTCACACCCTAACACCCTAACACCCCAACATCCTAACACCCTAACACCCTAGCTGGGTGACACCCTAACACCTTAACGCCCTATTCCCCAACACCCTAACACCCAAACGCCGTAACACACACACACACACCCTATAATCGGAACGCTCTAACACAGTAGCACCCTAACACCCTAACGCCTCATTGCCCTGACACCGTCACACCCTAACACCCTAACACCCTGACGCCCCAACACCCCAACACCCGAACACCCGAATCACGTAACACCCTAACATCCAAACGCCCGAACACCAAACACCCGAACACCCTAACGCCCGAACGCCCAAACATTCTAACACCCTAACACCATAACACCCTATAACCCAAACACCATAAGCCCCAAACGCCGAAACACCCAAACACCCCAACACTCTGTCACGTAACACCCTAGCACCCTAACACCCTAACAACCTAACACCCTCACACTCCAACGCCCCAACACCCTAACACCGTGACACCCTAACGCAATACCGCCCTAAAACCGTTACGTCCGAACACCCTAACACCCTGTCGCAGTAACACCCCAACAATCGAACACCCCAACGCTCGGGCGCCCCAACACGCCACCCCACCCGAATACCCCAATGCACGTGCGGGCGGAAGCGCCACGGCGGAACTTGGACTGCCTGTCCGTCGGGTTCCGCCGAGGCCCAGTTCCGCCGAGGCCCAGTTCCGCTCAGACCCGGTTCCGCCGAAGCCCGGTTCCACCGAGGCCCAGTTCCGCCGAGGCCCAGTTCCGCCGAGGCCCGGTTCTGCTCAGGCCCGGTTCCGCCGAAGCCCGGTTCCGCCGAGGCCCCGTTTCGCCGCGTCGCGCCCCGCTTGAGAGCTCGCGACGGTGGAACAGGATTGGGCGGAACAGGACTGGCGGAACAAGACCGGGCGGAACCGGACCTCGGCAGAACAGGACCTCGAGCGGAACAGGACCAGCGGAATAGGACCTCGGCGGATCAGGACCTCGAGTATCGGCGGAGAAGGACCGGCGGAACAGGACCTCGGCGGAAAAGGTCCAGTTCCAGATTGGCGATGGGTGTAGGTGCGGGTTGTCGGCCCCAAGGGGGGCTCCCGTTCGAGCAGGAGCCCTCTCCGTCCTCCCTATGGGTGCGGATGGGTGTTATTCGTTCGTCAGAGGTGGAGCTGATGTCGGAGGCGGTTACGCAGAGTGTGGCAGAGGCAATCCAGCAGGAGTAGGCGCAGCTCCACGAGGCGTTGCTCAGGAGCAAGGAGGGCTGGGAGCCCTCAGCCATCGACGTGGTGCTTCTCAAGTACGATCATTGCAAGAGCTGGCTTCGCGACGCCCTTTTGAGCGGCACGGCGCTGCAGGAAGAGCGGAATACGCTCAAATCGGCCGGCTTCGAGCCTGCGCTCCGCTCGGCAGCAGGGTTTTTTGACGAGGGCTGGGATTTGAAATGCTCCCACGTCGTCGTCACAGCAGAGCTGGAGAGCAAGGTCCACGATGCGGTGGATGCAGCCCACAAGGCGGCACCACGGAACGAGCGTGGAAGCAACACGGTCAACCGCAACCCGATCGTTGTTCCAGAGCTCAAATTTATGTCCGACGCTTCTGTTGAGCTCTCCACGTGGGACGATATCTGAGCATACAGATACTTGACCGTTCGCTGCCTTGGTGTTTGAATCGGGAAGTTGTTTCGCTTGAAGAACCTTTCTCAAATTAAGTTTTCCTTTGTGTATACGTAATTCGCAATCGATTCTGGATTGCTTTTTATGGGTAAGGGCTCCCCGTCTGCGCTCAGGAGTTGGTAGCTTGCAGTGCCCAGTACAAGATTGCCGCCCGAGCGCTTGAGCAGCCAGAGGAGCAATGCTATGTGGGGAAACCGTTCCCACCTATGCAGTTTGTTTGTGGCATCTCTCAGGCCTCTTTGTGGCTGACAAAAAGGAGCTCCGTCCAGGGTTCTCTGTGGTTGAACTATGGAGGCTCAATTCAGAATCAGCACCGAGATATCTTTGGTCGGAAAACTCCCCCGATCTGGCTCTAGCCCGCTTGATCCAGCTTAGTCTTGCTTATTCCTGCTTTAGCCCATGCAATATGGTTTTCATGCTGGGTTTCATCCAGCCTAGTTTTGCTCAGTGGCCCTTCAGTCGACCTTCATTGTTGTTGATCTTTCTGGCGAAGACCTTCCAGGACTTTCCCCGAACGTTACTCCCAGCCCTGCGACTCTTCCCCGGCACCCCTCTTGATTCTCGGCCCACCGACCGCCCCAGGCCCGAGTGAACGTTCCGGCATGGTCAGTTCGGTAGCACGAGCTGCACCGTCCCACCGCGGCGGCCGCTCGCTGTCGCCCGAAGATGCCGAGGACAGCCAGGACATCCAGCGTCTTGGACAGATGCGTAGCACCCCGCAATTGCGGGCAAGAGTGAGTGGCCGGGCGCGGGGTGGGTTGCGGGAGGGTCGCGAGTGAGTCGCGGGTGGGTTGCGGGGTGGGTCGCGGGTCGGTCGCGGGTGGGTCGTGGGTGGGTCGCGGGCAGCAAGCAGAATCCGCGCCACGGAATTCCATTTCACCCATGCACCCAGGGATAGTGTAAGACCGTTCGACCACCTCTGACAGCCGGAGCTGTTTCGCAGAGATCGGTCTCTGGAACTGTTGCCGAGCCCCAAAAACGGCTCAGGATGAGGAGCCAGCACCAGCACCGCCAACATCAAACAAGCGCGCCCGCCCGCTCCGAGGGTCCCCATCTCCCCTCCCCCCCTTTTGCCTTCCGACGCTGAGCATCGTCCAACTCATCCCCACCCCCACTGAGCCATGGCATCTCAGCCCCACCAGCCCACCCCCTCAGATGGGGATGGGCTGGAGGATCCAACCCGCGCGCGGCCCAAGCGTGGCCGGCGGGCTCGGCGCTTCACGGGGGGCACAGGGCCAGGGGGCGCAAGCACTATAGGTGCCACAGCCCCGCCGGGACCTCCTGGTGGAAGCCTTTCGGATTACCCCCGTCGGCGATGTATCGCCGATCCGAGCGCGAAGGAACCGCCCTTGTCCCGCATGGGGTGACACATCAGCCAGTGAGGCCAAGGCCACGCTGGTGGGGATGGGGATCGGTTAAACGATGCTCAGAAGCCCTGCCCGCAGATGGCGAGCGCTGCATGGAAGTCGAGGGCAGCCCTCTCGGCGCCTCCGTGCACAGCGTGCCCGCCTCCATGGCGACGTCGATTTCGATGGACTGGTCCGGCGCCTCTTTGTGCGAGAGGCGGTTGCTCTTTGCGAGGGGCGGTCGTCGGCGACAGCGACGACGATAAGCAAAGTATTCAGATCATGGTGTTGATGATGAGAACAGAGACCGAGACGGCGCGGAGCAATCAGATTCGGACGGAGCTAGGACGAGGAACAATCGTTCCAGAGCGTTTCGGTACGCTCTGAGAAAGCCGCGGCGCCAGAGAGAGCTGTCGGATTTTATTATCGTCCTGGCTTTGTCTTACATGGTCGATTGTGCTCGCCTGCTCACCAGAGCAACCTCGTTCGAAAGCAAGGCATATCAGCGTCAGTCCTTGTTGGCCTCGGCCTCGGCCTCAGCTCCGTGTGCAGCCTGATGAGCCGTGGCCCAAGCACCCGCGCCAGGTTCAGCAAAAGCCTCGGCTTCAGTGTCAGCCTCGGCCCACGAAAATATAGAGACAGACCATGCACGCAGGCGTGGAACAAATGCATGGATCAAGAGCAGGAAGAAAGACAGCAAGGAAGGAACGGCTCCTTGGAGTGGCGCACCCTGCAGGTACGTGATGAATGTTCTTCGTATCACGATAGAAGCTTGGCTTCCAGGTTCGAGAGTGAGAACAGTGCTTCCAGGCCGATCACGTACATGTAATGCTTGCGCTCGGAAGGCGATGTGATGCCACCCGGACCAGGGCATCTTCGTGTCGTGCTCTGCTTGACCGTGCCTCATTCCGTCCGTGTCTCATGCCGTTGAGCAGCTCGAGCTTCCAGGCGGCATCGCGAGGTAGACCGCTCCGCGAGGGCCTGTTGGGCGCCTGCTCGCAGCGGCCGGATGTCTTGCGCCCGCGACCGCCAGCCGCCCTTCGCCCTCGCCTGTCCCCGCTCCGCCCTCGCTCTCCGCCTGCGTGCTGCGTGCTCTCCACCAGCGTGCTGCGTGCTCCGCCTCTCGCCCTCGCCCGAACCCCTGCTCGTCCCGGTCCGCCGCGAGCTGCGCACGGTGCGATGCCGTCCGTCGTGCTCGCGCCGCAGGGGCTCCGTGCTGCGCAACACGGGTCATGCAGTGGAGGCCCATGCCAAGAAACACCCTACTTGCCTCCAGGGTGCCCTGGGTTTCTTGAGTTTCGATGGTTTCGCTACGGACAGCGCGACGTGCCCACACAAGAAATCTATGGACGTGCTGGGGTCTCAGGGTTGGGTTTCTTGTGGAAGGCTTCTTGTGGACTGGCCTCCACTGTACCCGCCCCGTTGGGCTCCCGAGGGGCCCCCCCCCGAGGGCTCCCGAGAGGGGGTCGCACAACATGCCCGCCAGCACGGGCGTGGGACTGCCGCAGGTCGGCAGCGCTGCAAGATGGGCGCGGCCAGCTCTGTTCCGAGCCGTGCCTGCCCCCCCGCAGGGGCAGATGGGCACACGGCCTCCCGAAACGTAGGTCCACGGGCCGACCTTTCAGCCGATCTGAAGTCACATCGGGGATGTCGTGGTCGGCGGTTCGGGGGAGCCGGGTCTGGGGCCCCAGAGGGCCCCCAGGCTTGCTTTCTCCTCCTCGCCTTTTGCGAGCAGTGCCGACGTCGAGCACTTCTTCGCCCGTGCACGCACGTAGACAGGAGTGAAAACCCGATGCTGCTGCTGAGGTGTAGGAGGAGAGGAGGAGGAGGAGGTAGGAGGAGGAGGAGGAGGAGGAGGAGGTAGGAGGAGGAGGAGGAGGAGGAGGAGGAGGAGGAGGAGGAGGTAGGAGGAGGAGGAGGATGGAGGATGGAGAGGAGGAGGAGGATGAGGAGGAGGATGCCCCTTTCCTTGCAGGGGGGACGAGCACCGCGCCTCGCGAAAATCCTGCTGAAGTGAATCCCTGCCCCGTGGCAGCTGGGGTGCGCGAGGGCTGCTGTTGAGGCCCAAGGTGCAGGCCTTGCTCTGGAGCAGGAGGTGTTGGATGTCCGTTCATGAGAGCCTTGGGTTCAGTACCGTTTAATCATTGTTTTTTATTCATGTACACCCCCTCCCCCAGGCGACCGACGGCCAATCAGGAACCATGAGAGCCCCCCCACACCATCCCAGTCAAACAACACTACAAAACGCTCTGTGTCTACAAATACGGAGCCTGCGCAACCAATTCGATGCGGCCCCCCCACCATCCCTATCAAAACACCATATAAAGTACACTTCGGGGCAAAGTCTGGAGTCATGTTCGTGAGACCCGCGAGCACGTTGTATTGTCTTTTGATTGGGACGGCGGGAGTGTCAGCATCTTGCCTGCTGTGCGCAGGGCTATCATCCCTGACAATATGGATCATGCGCGGCTAAATTTGGATCATGCGCGGCCACCCCGAGATCATTGCCAAGTGGTTTTTAACAGGGACGGCGGGGGTGGTGGCGTATGGCCTGCTGTGCGCAGACCCACCAGACACAATGATGGGCATTGGTTTTCGACCATGTTGGTGGGGGCCGACATGTTTCCCGATGTGTGCTGTCACGTGCGCAGGCGCACCTGACACACTCTGCACGTGCCCTGAACGTGGCGCACCTGGCGCGGCTGGAGTATGCGACACACCTGGCGCACGCGGAGGCACGTGGCGCATCTGGCGCACCAGGCGTGCCTGGCACGCTCGGGTCCCAGGGGTGCCTGGCGCGCGTGGCGCGCCTGGCACGCGTGGCGCACCTCGCCCTAGCGTCGCGCACATAGGCTCGGTTTTGGTTCCCAGTAGCTGTCCATCCAAAGACGACCGCTGAACATGCTGATGCTCGGGTGTTACTTGTGTGTTGGGTGGGCGGGTGGGAGTGAGCTAGACGGCTTGCTATCTGAAGGTGTCTAGACCGAGCCCAATCCCCATCCCCATCCCATCCAGCCCCCCCACCAACTCAGCACCCCAGTTGGGGATATACCCGCGAAGCCCGAGGGAAGCGGCCTATATCCCCATCCACGGGGGTAAATCGTCCAGTGGGGCCCAGGCCACGCCCATGGGGATAGGTGTCGGTTAAACGATGTTCAAGCGAAGGATGTCCGTTCATGGGAGCCTTAACCGGCGACGTTGATGCCAGCTTTTTCTGCATTTGAACCGCATTTGGAACGCATTTTGCCCTTCCTCCTGCTCCTCCTCCTTCTCCTCGTCGTCGTCCTCCTCCTCCTCCTCCTCCTCCTCGTCCTTCCTATTTCCCATCCCCCCTCCTCGTTCTTTTCGTATCCCTGTGTGAAGGGGCGAATCCGGTCCAAAACCGGTCTTCAATGTATTCCAAATCATGTCCAAACCAGGCCCAAATCGGACAGCGCCGACGGCCACGTAGGCTCCCTGAAACGTACACTAAAAAGGTACTTCGCCAGCCTTCGAAAACAGGCAACGCCGCAGGCGAATCTCAGGGGCAACGTTAGGGGGGATTCGCCTTTTTCCCGGAAAGGGCATGAGCCCAGGGTTCTCTTTGTACTAGGTAAACCTGTCCCCCGGTGCCTGCTTGAAGGAGGCCGGCGAATTTTTTCCCTGATAAATAACGAGCCGGCGAATTGCCGGCGAATTTTTTCCCTGATAAATAACGAGCCGGCGAATTGCCGGCGAATTTTTTCCATGATAAATAACGAGCCGGCGAATTAAAATTTGAGGATGTCTCGAGCGAAACGCTTGTTTCCCAGCACGGCCCCACCCCAGCAAGACCACACCCCAGCACGACCACACTCCAGCACGACCTCACCACAGCACGACCACTCCCCAGCACGATCACGCCCCAGCACGACCACGCCCCAGCACGACCACGCCCCAGCACGACCACACCCCAGCACGACCTCACCACAGCACGACCACACCCCAGCACGACCACGCCCCAGCACGACCACGCCCCAGCACGACCACGCCCCAGCACAACCACCCCCCAGCACGACCACCCCCCCAGCACGACCACGCCCCAGCACGACCACCCCCCAGCACGACCACACCCCAGCACGACCACTCCCCAGCACGACCACACCGCCTTGGTTGAGTGGTTGCCTGTCGTCGTGGAATGTTTCGTGGGGTGTCTCGTGGAATGTTTCGCGGGGTGTCTCGTGGAATGTTTCGTGAGGTGTCTCGCGGAATGTTTCGTGAGGTGTCTCGTGGGATGTTTCGTGAGGTGTCTCGTGGGATGTTTCGTGAGGTGTTGCCCCGTTGGGTATCGTGAAAACGTGCCCATGAATCACATGTCTATATCCCTTTCCGGGTTCGTGGGTCCATCATGTTGGCAACGCATCGACCCCCAATCGCCCATTGATCGCCGATAGGGGCCCGATAGCCCGCCCCGCAGAGGAAATAGCAGTTTCGCTTTCGGGGGTCTCATCGACGATATATCGTCGATTCCAGGTCGAGGTTTTCTTCCTTGAGCTGGCCCCCCTAACGGTGCCCCTCACAGACGGTGCAACCCCACCCTTCGAATACGGGCTCTGGCCAGGCGAGTATTCAGGCCCAGTTGCGCCGCCGTGCATATTCGCCACCGCGCTGTTAGTAGGCGACAACATGCCACAGCAGAGAGAGCCAGGTGCCAAGAGAGACAAAGTGGGGCCCCGCGCATAGCCGCGCCACAGCACGGCGGCGGAGCAGCTGTCAGGAACCCAACCCTTCTCCAGAGGGGTTGGGAGCAATCCGCTGGTATGGCCTCCTCTGGGCGCAATGCTGCGGTGATTCGCCACACAACGCGCCTCCGCGGATCATGCCGGGCCCCCTGGTGCCCCAGGCCAGTCCATCTGCGACCAGAACTGTTCGGCACCGGATTGCGGTCGCGCCAGATTCCGGTCGCGACCAGAGGGGGTCCAGCTTCGGCAACGGAGAGACGCCGCGTCGGGGTCCAAGTGATGGTTTCGAAGACGTCGACGGCTCGCTCGTTACCAGAATTCGCGACCGGAGGTCGAATGTCGGTCGCGACCAGTTCATGCAGATCGCTACCATACAGTTTCGTTAACGGATGTTTTGCAAGGCCCACCCCATGCCTCCAGCTGCTCCTGGGCCCCCAGATATCGCCGCAGACCCGCCGCAGCAAGGACCCCGGACCATGCGGGCCCGACATGACATGGATTCGCGTGAGCGGGAGTCCCTCTGCGCAGGAGGCGGCTGTGCCACACTGGAACCATCGCTGGCCAGGGCCGTCCTGGGCCTCAGGATCGTCTGTAGACCCTCGTGGCCTCGGCCAGGAGGTCGTGTACACACCGCGCTGCGGCCCAGAGTGGCCCTGGCCAGACATGGCGGCGTGGCGGAGTTGCGCAGCCGCCGTCTGCGTACCATCGCTCCGATCTGTGCGGCACGAGGCCGTTAGCTTCCTCTCCCGCGTGCCCCGCAGGTCCGTGCCGCCCTCGCCCGAGGACGACGTGGACTTTCTGGTGCCTTCGCTCTTCAGCCAGGCGGTCGACGAGCTGCGGTCCCCAGGCCCACTCTCGGGCCTGACCATGTTTGGTACACAGAGATCCAGAGCGTTTGAACAAAATGACAAGGCGGAGGCTTTTCCTTACTTTCGGCCTCTAGGGGCCCTCGCCGGGCCCCGGGACCGTCAACAAAAACGACTCAGGATGAAAAGCCAGTCCCCAGGAGTGGGCCGAGATTTCTGGGGACCCCGCATTGAAAAAAACTAAGACATCGGATCTCTGCGGATGCAGACGCACTGCGCAATTGCTAGTCCCTCGCCTCGCTTCTCCTCCTCCTCCTCCTCCTCCTCCTCCTCCTCCTGCTCCTGCTCCTCCTCCTCCCCTCGTGGCCAGTGCCTGTTACTTCTGGCATGGGGTTGGATCCTGATGTGCAGCATCGGCCTTCACACCCCCTCTCGCTCAGGGTTGCGGATCTGCGTCGCGATCTTTTCTCGCTAGGTCCGTGGTGATTGAACGGCACACGCGCGGGCTAACACCATGCTGATGTGATTGTTCTCGTGGGAACAGGCCCAGGCCCAATCTGGCCAAGTCGCCTCTGGGGCGAGTGGTGGCTGTGATCAGTGCAGTGTTCGTAGATATTTTTCCCGGAAAGGGCATGGGCCCAGGGTTCTCTTTTAGTTGGTAAACCTAATCCCCCGGTGCCTGCTTGAAGGAGGCCGGCGAATTGCCGGCGAATTTTTTCCCTGATAAATAACGAGGTCGAAGGAGGCCGGCGAATTTTTCCCTGATAAATAACGAGCCCGAGAATTAAAATTTGAGGATGTCTCGAGCGAAACGCTTGTTTTTGAGGCCGGCGAATTAAAATTTGAGGATGTCTCGAGCGAAACGCTTGTTTTTCAGAAAATGGTGAGGATGTCTCGAGCGAAACGCTTGTTTTGTGTTATAGATTGTCCTCTCCTGGGGACCTGAATTCTGAGGACCACCTCCCAGCACGACCACCCCCCCAGCACGACCACTCCCCAGCACGACCACCCCCCAGCACGACCACACCCCAGCACGACCACTCCCCAGCACGACCACACCCCAGCACGACCCCACCCCAGCACGACCCCACCCTAGCACGACCACACCCCAGCACGACCACACCCCAGCACGACCACACCGACCAGCACGACCACACCCCAGCACGACCACACCCCAGCAGGACCCCACCCCAGCACGACCCCACCCCAGCACCCCCACCCCAGCACGACCCACACCCCAGCACGACCTCACCACAGCACGACCACACCCCAGCACGATCCAGCACGACCACACCCCAGCACGACCACCCCCAGCACGACCACCCCCCCAGCACGACCACCCCCCAGCACGACCACCCCCCAGCACGACCACACCCCAGCACGACCACTCCCCAGCACGACCACACCCCAGCACGACCACGCCCCAGCACGACCCCACCCTCGACCCACACCCCAGCACGACCCCACCCCAGCACGACCCCACCCTAGCACGACCACCAGAATCACACCCCAGAACGACCACACCCCAGCACGACCCCACCCCAGCACGACCCCACCCCAGCACGACCACACCCCAGCACGACCACACCCCAGCAGGACCCCACCCCAGCACGACCCCACCCCAGCAACCCCAGCACCACACCCCAGCACGACCACACCCCACGACCTCACCACAGCACGACCACACCCCAGCACGATCACGCCCAGCACGACCACGAGCACGACCACCCCCAGCACGACCACCCCCCCAGCACGACCACACCCCAGCACGACCACACCCCAGCACGACCACACCCAGTCGCACCCCGTGGAATGTTTCGTGGGGTGTCTCGTGGAATGTTTCGTGGGGTGTCTCGTGGAATGTTTCGTGGGGTGTCTCGTGGAATGTTTCGCGGGGTGTCTCGTGGAATGTTTCGTGTCTCGTGGAATGTTTCGCGGGGTGTCTCCTGGAATGTTTCGTGAGGTGTCTCGCGGAATGTTTCGTGAGGTGTCTCGTGGGATGTTTCGTGAGGTGTCTCGTGGGATGTTTTGTGAGATGTTGCCCCGTTGGGTATCGTGAAAACGTGACCATGCTGCGCATGTCTATATCCCTTTCCGGGTTCGTGGGTCCATCATGTTGTTGTTCTGGTGGCAACTCATGGGAGTCTTGTACGTATTCGCAGTTCCGTCTCTAGAGTGCCTCTGCGTGCGCTGGCGTCTGGTAATCGATGAGAAAGCGCAGATGTAGTGTCGATCTGGCTTCGATTAGCGTCGACTAGCGTCGGCCAACGTCGATTCGCAAGAGCCAGCAAGATGGCTTGGAAGGCTCTCACGAGTTGCCACAGAAGCTTTGAAAGGCCCAGTCATCAGCCGAAGCCTCTTACATGGCTCGCTGGTCGTGGGCGCTTGAATTTTGTTTCGAGCCGAGGGCAGATATCCATAAATCTTAAGCATACGCCGAGTACATGCACGTCGAGACAGCATGTGTTCAAGAGGCCTCAGCCCATGCCGCCGACCCCTAGAAGAGGAACTGAATTACGATGTCGTATGCGTTGCTTGACTCGTCCCGTCGTTGCTTGCCTGCAGTTGTGTCTGGTTTGTACCCCTTTTCCTCCGCGTCTGTTGTGGGATTCTTCACCAGGGCGGCCTTTTGGGAACCCTTTCAGAGCTCCCGGGTGCTTCCCTGAGGGCCTCACGGGGGCCTCTTGGGGGCAGCATCTTGGGAGCATCCTGGGGGCATGCTGGGCGTCGTGCGGGGCCATCTCGTGGGGGATGGCTCCCTGGACCATCACGAGTTCCCCCCTCTTGGCCTCCTCGGCCCCTCCTGGAGCCCTGGTGAAGGCCGTTTCGGCCGTCTTGGGAGGCCTTCGGGGCAGTTTTAGGGTCCCCTTTAGAATCTTCTCGATCTTCTTTGGCCAGTATCGGGGACTTCTCGGGCCGTCTTGGACCAATTCACATGTAGAGATGGCGAAAATCATTCAGACGCGTTGGAACCCTTCTTGGACGATCCAAGAGGGCATCTTTAGCATCTTGCAGGCCGCGGTGGGTAGACTGTGAGGCTCCGAGGGCCACGGAGGTGCGCCGGGGAACTCGTCCCCCCCCTCCTCTCCTACCTCTGACGGGATTTCGGACTCCAGAGAGGTAGGAAAAGGGGATCGGCGATACACAAATGTCTCACACGCCCCCGGCAAGCGGGGGTCAGTGGAATCTCAACAGTTCAGAGAGAGAGAGAGTTTAAAGAGAGAGAGAGGGAGAGAGAGAGAGAGCAACTTCTCCTCCAACGTGGCGACAAGGCTCAATTCCCGTGCCTGATGATCTCGCTCCCATGGTACTCGCACGTTGCATCTCCCCAGCCGCCTCCGCAGCCGGCAGCTTCCACCCCCCCCCCCGGCGCAGCTCTGCCTCGGCGCAGCTCCCCCCCCGGCGGTAGGTTCGCTAGCTAGCTCGGCGCGCGCGCCGGCAATTAGGGCGCCCGCGGCCCGTGCGACTCTACCGATGCTGCTGGCGCGCTCGCCGCAGCTGCGACAAAAAAGTATCCCCACCGGTCCATCCAAAAACAACCGCCAGGCGAATGACCCTGATCCAGGATGCGTGGCAGCATGCAGTCACGCTCTGGGAGCCTCTTGGAGGCATCTTGGGGGCCATCGTCGTGCCCCATTGGGGCCCTCGCGGGGCCATCTTGGAAGCATTTGGGGCCCTCCTGTGGCCATCTTTGAGGCCTTCGGCCCGCTCTTGGAGGCATCTTGGGACCATCTTCGAGCCCTACAAGGGGCCCGCGGGGGGCCATCCTGGAGGCCGTGGTGGCGCTCGTCGGGCCATCGATCCAAGAAGGGGGGTTCTCAATTGCGCCCCACTCGAAGGCCGAGAAGATGCCTCTTGCGGCGCTCTTGAGGCGCTTTTGGGGCCGTGTTGGGCCCTCCTGGAGCTCTCTTAGGCCATATTGGAGCCATCATGGGGCCCCAAGAGCCCATGGGAAGCGACAAGGCGTGAAGACAAACGCATTGCTTCTTTAACATCGGTTTTTTAATGATGATGGTGGGCTCTCGGTGGGGTCTTTGGGAGGGGAACCCTTGGGGGGGGGATGTTCGGGTCTCTTGGATGCGTGTTGGAAGCTGTTCTGAGCCATCTTGCGCTATCTTGTCCGATATTGGAGGCCATCTAGTGTTACCTGAGGCCCTCTCTGGGCCTCGGCACCGACGAGACCACGCAGGCGGGGCCACATGGCACGTCTGACGGGGCGGTCGCTTGCGGGGACTTGGGCGGGGCCTCGCGCAAAGCCGAGGACCCCGACGGAGGCAGGGCGAGGGAGAGGCGCTGGAGGAGGAGGAGGAGGAGGAGGAGGAGGAGGAGGAAGAGGAGTGAGGAGGAGGAGGAGGAGGAGGAGGAGAGAGGAGGAGGAGGAGGAGAAGGAGAAGGAGAGGAGGAGGAGGAGGAGGAGAAGAGGAGGAGGAGGAAGAGGAGGAGGAGGACGAGTATGGACGAGGAAGCGAGGAGGAGGAGGAGGAGGAGGAGGAGGAGGAGGAGGGCGAGGACGAAATGAGGAGGAGGAGGACGACGACGACGAGGGCGACATGATATGGAAGAGGATGAGGAGAGGAGGAGAAGGAGGAGGAGGAGGAGGAGGAGGAGGAAGAGGAAGAGGAGGCGGAGGAGGAAGATGAGGAGGAAGAAGAGGAGGAGGAGGAGGAAGAGGGTGATGATGGTGATGCTGCTGCTGATGATGATGCTGATGGTGGTGGTGTTGATGATGACGATGCTGCTGCTGCTGGTGATGATTATGATACTGATGAAAACGATGACGATGACGATGACGATGCTGATGCTGAAGAGGATGCTGCTGGGGCTGCTGATGGGGCTGCTGCGGCTGGTGATGATGATACGGATGTTGATGCTGATGCTGCGGATGCTGCTGATGTCGATAATGATGTTGATGATGATACTGTGTTGATGCTGATGCTGATGCTGATGCTGATATGTCGGACGATGATGAGGGCGCTGTTGCTGATTGTGATGGTGAGGAGGAGGATGAGGAGAAAGAGGAAGAGGCTGAGGCTGAGGATGATGTTGCTGATGCTGATGCTGATGCTGATGATGCGGCTGATGCTAATGATGATGCTGATGCTGACGGCGATGAGGACGAGGAGGGCGAGGATGGTGAGGGTGATGCTGCTGATGGTGATGATGCTGTTTTTGTTGTTCTTGATGATGCTGATGATGATGATGATGATGATGATGATGATGATGATGATGATGATGATGATGCTGGTGCTGATGCTGATGGTGATGATGTTGCTGCTGATGCTGATGACGGTGATGCTGATGATGCTGATGATGCTGCTGATGATGCTGATAGAGTCGATGATGATTATGGTGATGATGATGCGGAGGAGGAGGAGGAGGAGGAGGAGGAGGAGGAGGAGGAGGAGGAGGAGGAGAGAGGAGGAGGAGGAGGAGGAGGAGGAGGAGGAGGAGGAGGAGGAGGAGGAGGAGGAGGAGGGGAGGAGGAGGAGGAGGAGGATGAGGAGGAGGATGAGGGGGAGGAGGAGGAGGAGGAGGAGCAGCAGGAGGATGAGGAGGAGGAAGGGGAGGAGGAGGAGGAGGAGGGAGGGAGGGAGGGAAGGAGGGAGGAGGGAGGGAGGAGGGAGGGAGGAGGGAGGGAGGAGGGAGGGAGGGAGGGGGTATGAAAGCGCGACCGCTCGATAACACACGGATAGCGCCTCGATGGCATCTCGATAGCATATCGGTACCACCCGATAACCATGTTACCGACATGTTATCGAGGTATCATCGAGGTGTTAGCGAGTTGCTTCCGAATGTTATCGAGCTCGCTAACACTCGATGGCACCTCGATAACAGATCGAAAGCACCTCGATACCATTTCGATAACATTGTTATCGAGGTGTTATCGAGATGTTATTTAATCGCTTCGCTCATTCCGCCGGCCCTGGAGCCCTCTTTAGGGCCTATTGGGGGCCTCTTGGGGACCTCTGGGGGCCTCCCGGGAGGCTCTTAGGACTGAGGGCTCGAAATGTTGTTTCGTGTTCCCCCTCTGGGGCCGTTCTTGGGGCCCTCTTGGGCCGTCTTGGGGGCGTCTTGGGCTGTCTTGGGGCGCTCTTGGGCCGTTTTGAAGCCCTCTTGGGGGCCTTTTGGGCTGTCTTGGGGCGATCTTTGGGGCCTCTTTGGTCGTCTTGGAGCGTCGGGAAGCGGAAAAGGCGAGAATGCGGAAATCCTTCAAAAACCTGAGGGAAATCGATGAATTTTGCCTCTTGGGGACCTCTTGGCAGGGCTCTTGGAGGCTTCTTGGTGCGTCGGGGAGCCATCTTAGGCGTTTTGGAGCGATATTATGGCGTCTTGGAGCTCTGTTGGACCATATTGAGGGCCTCTTGGGGGTCTCTGAGCTCTTCTCGGGGCTCTTGGGAGGCCCTGAGGGCGGCGCCCAGGAGCAGAACCATCCCCGACAGGGAGTTGCCCAGGGACCTGGTCAGGGTACTTTTCGTCCGGGGACCCCCAGGGGCCGCCCCGCGCGCGCGAACTAGAAAATTGTTAAGCAGTTACCGGAGATCTTAGCACGCCTCTGGCCCGTTGGGCCGGCGAATTGGGGGTGTTATCGAGGTGTTATCGGGGTGTTATCGAGCGGTCGCGCTTTCGTGCCTCCTCCCTCCCTCCTCCCTCCCTCCTCTCTCCCTCCCTCCTCCCTCCCTCCTCTTCGTGCGTCTCGGGCCCCACCTGGAGCCCCCATGGGGCCCCTCTTGGAGGCCCTTTCGGGCCTCATTGTTTCGTGGCCCCTGCGAGGGATTTTGCTGGTCACGATACAGTAACGTGACCGGCAAAATCCCTCGCAGGGGGTCCAGAAAAAATGCCTCCAAGAAGGC